GAAAATCTTCTTTGAATTAATTCTATTTTCTAGAAGAAACAAATTTCTTTAAAAATTAATTTCCTATTATCTCTTTGCTGACGAAATTTCAGAAAGATTAATATATACCTGCAATCAGTGATCAATACCCTGTCTTCCGAGTCTAAATTGTCTTGGGAGACAAATTCGTGGTAGCCATGCATTAGGCCAAATATTGCCTTAAAAACAAGAAAATTAAATCCCTTGACTGTGGTGTCGAAATATCTTTTTTAAGTCCATTCTAAAATACTCAATTCCAATAATTTAAGACAACATTCTCGCTAATGAGGGATGATTTACACAAGTGTGTTTTCCCTTATACACTTAGACCATGTTCGGATTAGGAACTTGTTTTTATTCCGGACTAATTTAACTCATTGTAGCCCCACAATACAATAATTCGAACAATAATGAATTAGATTTTTAATAATCTATTTGGTTCAACTTGTTATTAACATCTTTAAACCTATGTCACGTTTGGGAACTTGTCATTATAATGGGTATATGATCTTCTATATACTATCCAAGTATTTCAGGGGTCTGTTTGCAACTTTTAGATTTTAGGGAGTCATTTGCAGTTTGTTTTTTAGGGTGCTATAAGCAATTTTAAATTTTTAGCATTTTGTTTGTAATTTTTGGTTTTTTTTCAAGAGTCGTTTTTTATTTTTAAATTTTAAGGGGCTTTTAGATTTTTTAGGGGCCTATTTGCATTTTTAGGGAATTATTTATATTTTTTGATTTTAGGGGACTCTTTGTAATTTTCATTATTAGGGACTTTTTTTTACTTTTTTTTTGTGTTTGTGCAAAAAAAAATTTATTCTTTTCAAATTTGAGGGTATTAGCAAATAGCTTGATCTAGGAGGACTGGTGTGCAAATATGGATGCTTTTTTTTTTTGAAAAGCAAATATGGATGACTTGATGGACATATACAACAACCCAAGTGGGTGAGGGTAAGAACTAGGGGTGAAATGCCCTGGTAAATTTTAGAAAATTTAGGGGCGATGGCTTTTTTTTTTTTTTGGTCAATGAAAAAACTTTATTCATTCACCAAATATGAAATGATTATACATCAAGATACTCATAATATGAGATTACAACTTCATAGTCTATTTATTTACATCTATAATGACAGTATCCAATCTCTGCTGTCAAGTAAACTTGCACTATTGAGGACTATGTATAGCATACTGATCTTTATTTCCCCGAACACCTGATTAGCATTTCTGAATTTGTTCTTGAAGATTCTGTTATTTCTCTCAATCCATACACAATATAGAGTTGAGGAGAGAGCCATCCGTTTGATGGCTTATTTTTTGATCCAATCCCAGGTGGAAAATAATAAGAGGAAGCCCCCAACCCAAAAAAAAGAAAAAAAAAGTAAAACCCTACTGCTATTTAGTCTTAAATCTATGGACTATTTTATTTCAATGGACTAAATAGTCCCACCCAATCCCCTTATAATTTTGAACCGAACGCCTTATTATTTTATTTTAAAGGACAAAGGATTACTCACTCAAAATAATATTCAATTTAAACATGGCCTTGGACCTTGGACGTATATAACAGACGAATCAAGGATATCTCCCCTAAATCTCTAATTAAAGCCAAAAGAGATTGCATTATTATGAGTAAATAAACGAGTAATAATGTTGCAGATAAAGCAAATGATTTGACATGAAAGAAGAACAAGCCTGTAGACGAAACAAATGTAATTATATTGGAGGAAATTTCAAGTTCCCAGCATATTCAAGTTTGACATGACGAATACCGAATGGGCTTGGAATCAATCAATTCAAAGAAGACGAAGGAGAATGCGACATATACCTAGATCTAGATGGAGGAATGAGAACGCAACACATATCAACTGTACATTTTGCATCAGCAATCCATAAAATCCCTGTAAATAATTAAAATACCAATAAATACTAACTATTATATTAGAAAGATTAATAAGTATCCTTGTCATAGGAAGGGATTTTCTACTTAACGCCTATGTGACACAATCTCCATCATCCTTATAAAGTATGAGAGAGTGTGTGAGTTGGTGAGGATTTGTGCCTACTTTATGAGAATGGTACCACATAGACGACAAGGAGGAAATCTCCTCATATGACAAGAATACTCATTAATCTCTATATTAAAATAATTTTGAGAGTACGGACGGCACAGAATGTAACATCTCTCCCGCTTCCTAACTATGCGATGGAATAATAACGGCTTGTTGTTATGAACGTGCACTGAGTTCCGCTTGTAATCAAAATTACTTACTTAGAAACCTCATTCACTATCATCTCTTCTTATTCTTCTCAACGCCGAACTTCCCCGACTCGCTCACCGGCGTCCTCTCCATCCGATCTCTCAGTCTACGACCAACCGGCAATGAGCGAACCCTTAACTACGTTACCCCTAACGTCGCCATCCGGGAGCGTAGTTATTGGCGGCCACGTATCCAGGGATTTGCTTGCGGCCGGGGTGCTTGTTGTTGAAGATGGAGAACTACACCATGCTGCAGGCGCTGCAGCGGTAAGAAGCGGAGGGAGGAAGCAGAGGAGAGGGAGAGGAGTATCCTCCGGCGCTGAATGATAAACAATGTGGAGTATATATAAAGAAGGAAGATGGAAGATGAGGACGGAGGAACGTTGGTTTTTGAGTTGTGACTTGTGGGAGAACGGAATAGGTATCTTTTTTATTGGGGGGGTTTCTGCAATTCCAAAAAGTTATTAAAGATTTAGTGCGATTTTAAAAGTTCGTGGGGTTTCATGCAAAATGCTGAAAAAGTATCGGGGTTTATTCTAATTTGCTAGCTCTTTATTAAAACTATGGATCTAGGAATTGAAGATGGAAAATAATTTCTCAAGACGCACTGGGGAATTGAAGATGATAAGCATAAGATACCTATTTTGCGATTTTAATTTAAAAATTTAATAGAAACTAATTTCAAAACGACATTGCCTAAACCCCATACATGTTTCAATTGTTATTAATAAACTGTAAAATTTACTTCCATTAATATATGAAGGATTGATGTATTCAATGTCATCACAAAAAATAGACAAAATGTCTCAAATATATATATGCTTAAACTATATAGCAGGACAAATTTTCAAAACCATCCCTTTTTAAAATTTATTTATAAAAAACGATCTATTTCAATTTTAATTACAAAAACAGACCCAGTTGGATGAAACTGGGTCTGTTTTTGAAAAAAAAAATTCAAACTTCACGGGAATTCAACTCCCGTGAAGTTTTGTTATGAGAAAAAACTTCACGGGAGTTCAAATCCCGTGAAGTTTGAATTTTTTTTTCAAAAACAGACCCAGTTTCATCCAACTGGGTCTGTTTTTGTAATTAAAGTTGAAAAAGGTTTTTTTTTGAGAATAAATTTCAAAACCGGATGGTTTTGAAAATTTGTCCCTATATAGCATGGTGCCACACCAAATGATCTGTAAACAGCATAAAGTTTTCGTCCCCAATGATCGGTAGGTACCAAACATTGTAGTAATATACACAACAAGAATTAGGAACAATTGTATCAAATGAAATGCTCATATCACTAAGCCCCTTCACTTTTCACTCATGTGCTTTAGTCCCAAAATCCAACTTACGTGACTAACCCCCTTTTTAGATGTCACCTCAGCAGATAAAGAAGTCATATTTTTTTCCCAAACTGCCCTCACCCTCAACCTTTCACCTCTCTTTTTTCCCCCTCTCATGAACACATGAATTTTTTTTCTCCTCTCCTAAACCGTTATCCCTTTCTTCAACATCTCTGCCGTTACATCATCCTTCTATTTCATCTTATCATTTCTCAACCACTATCTTTTTTTGCCACCAAGACATCTTATTCATCATTTTTCCTCTTTCTCAACTATCTCTCATTCTTTTTGTTCTCACAAACGTTACTACATCACTCAAAGACAATCTCAACTAAAATAGCCATCTCCTAAAGTCATGCAAAGACCGTCTCCACTAAAACAGTCTATCTCCTAAAGTTACGCCGAAGTTAACACTTAACAGTTAAAGTTAACAGCTAAGCTTTATAGTTAAATTGTAGCTGAAGAGTAACAAAATAGATGTTAATTATATGAAACAGTTGCTAAGTTAATAAAGAGATGTTAACTATATGACTTAGGTGTTATGCTTAACAGATAAGTGATATGCATATGACTTAGCTGTTAAATTTAACACACACATGTTAACTATATGATATAGGTGTTAACTTCGACGTAACTTTAAAAAATGACCTTTTTAACTAAAGAAGATGGTCTTTGAGAGATATGATGATGACTGTGGAAGGAGGAGGAGGAAATGAAGATAGAGAAGGAGGACATGAAAGTGAAACAAAGAGAAAGAAGGAAAAAAAGTGGAAGAAAGTAGAGATAAAAGGTAGGAAAGAGAAAGGTGGGGGAAAGAGGAGGTATCAAGATAAAGTTGAGATAGAGAAGAGAGGAGGGAAGAGAGTGAAGTTAGGTGAATGGGAGAAGAGGGAGGAAGATGGGCGGAAGAGAGAGGAGGGTGGATATGAGATGGCAGAGGTGGCCGGGGTGAAGAAAAAGGGAGGAGAGTGGATACGGTACAAAGAACAAATGAGGAGGGAGGGGTTGGAGTGGAGGAAGAGAGGAAGAGTATATAAGAAGTAAAGATGGAAGAAGATAAATGGTATTTTAGGGATAAAAATATGGTCGAGATGCGCCTTATCACATGAACATTTGAATTATGAGGTTAGAACACATGGTACAAAAGTGCAAGGGTTTAGTCACATGAACTTTTTATTTTTGGGGTCTAGGCATAAGTTTCCCAAAAATTAGCTATAAAGTATAAACTATAAAAAAATTTACATTCTTAAGGCAACAAATGAGACATCACTTACAGAATTTGAAAAAAATCCTAATTACTTATCTTTGCTCAACATTATTCTTTCTGCTAATCTATATAGCGATAGGTAAAAATAAGTCAAAAAAAAAAAAAAATCCTTCGGACACAAAGATGAACTGGTATTCCTCCCTACAATTAATTGTTATTTTCTTAAACATCCAAACGAAGAGGACCTCCTCTATAAAGAGTAATCATATTTAGGACTGGAAATCAAACGAATCAATGAATAAAAACTAATTTTCCGGGGCACAGAAGCAAAGATCTTAAAGGAATACAACAAATCACTGAAAAATAAAAGCTAATTTACACGAAAGCTTGAACAAGAAGAAAGTAAAGCATGAGAGGAGAATCTATCACATAAATCTCATCCAAATCAAACTTTATCGCCAAAATAACCATAATCTATTTAGCAATAATCAATCCAATCCTCAATCGAGAAATCCGCAACCTAAAGCAACAAACCAAATGTCCTAGTAAGAACCGAAATCTAGAATCCCATACGCATAAATATCACATCCCTCGTAACCATTGGAAAAAAACACTTTTTCCTGCGGATGGATGCCTTCAGCCTCCTCCCCGACCACCTCATCTCCTCCATCCTCTCCTTCCTCCCTCTCACCATCGCTGCAAGGACCAGCGTCCTCTCTCGCCGCTGGCGCCCTCTGTGGGCCCACATCACGGCTTTCAACGTCGATGCTGATCGTCTCTTTCCTTCCGACTCAGCCAAACAAATCCGATGCATAGACGCAATCCTATCACACCCTCAGCTCAACATCCTCGAGCTCAAGATCGCGCTCTCCTCATGTACCCCCGCTCCCGTCTTAGCCCGTTGGGCTGTGAATCTTGCCCGGAGGAGGGTCACCAATGTGGGGCTGATCAGTGTGGACCAGCCCCATCTGGCCCTACAAACTCTATTTACTTCAAAGTCATTAACAAAACTCGAACTTCAATACTGCAAGCTAAACAATGATGGCTCGTCTCCTCTCGTTGCCTGCAGTAGCCTCAAGCTTATAGAGCTCAAAGCTGTTACAACATCGAATGAAACAATAAGTGAGATATTATCTGCATGCAAGAATCTGAATTCTCTGAGGATAGAATATTGTAGTTTGTATAGTGTTGTCGTCAGCCATCAGAGGCTGGAGTGCTTCGAATTGGTAACGGGGCTATCAAGGTGTGATATCAACATCGAGACTCCGAATCTGAGAGAGCTGGAATTGGATGTTCCGTGTAACGTGAAGAGGATTAGGGTTTTGGCTCCGATTGTGAGGAGGTCGAGGGTAGGCTTTCAGAGCGGTTTGCTTACCTGCGGTGACTTGCTCGGGTCATTGACGGGACTTGTTGCCGGGATTGAGAACGCTGAGGAGCTTCAACTGTGTGGTGCAATTGTTCAGGTCGGTGGACTTGATTGAATTCTTTGATCAAGTTATATACGGTTTTCTTCAAGTTTCATGCTTACTGTACGTAGTAACAGGTAAACTTATTGTAGGAACTGGTATTTGGCTACAATTTAGGTCCCATTTATTTAGATTAGGGCTCATTTATCCTATGCTATATCAAGTGTTGGGAAGAAATATTGATCTTTTTGGGAGTAAAACAGGGCTTAAACAGAGGAAGGCAAAGGCTTGAAACCTAATCGAAAAGTTTAATATATTAAATAATATTCTTACTTTCCATTTAAATTGGTCACTCTTATTAATTCTTTTCAATGTGGAACTCACGCATATATGAAGCCCCAAAAACATATCGCCATGATAAACCAAACAGTCGAAAATCAAAACGGTTCTAGATTTCCTTCTCTATTTAGTTCTGGAATACAAAGAGGGCAAGAAGCAGCTTGATATACAATATGATTGCAAATTGAACGTTCGGCACCATGTTCATTTACTGACAATTGTTTTACTATGTTTTGCTTCAGTTTTAAGAAGCTCAAAAAATTGCATGTAACTCTATGCAGTAAAGATCCAACACAGACTTCTGTGCTTACCGCGCTCCTCCAAAGTTGCTCTCAGTTGCAAGAACTCACAGTTGAGGCAAGTCACTTTCTGAACTTTTCCAGTTTCATCTCTACGAGAGCTAATCTGATCATTATTATTTTCATGAACCTCATCAGGTAAGTGACCTGTCTCAAGAAGAAGATCCTCACAAAAATGTCCTCGATGAACGAATCGTAACGCAGAATTTACTAGTTTTACAGATAAAATGTATGAAGAAGAGATTGTGAAATTTCTCTTTGAGGGAAGTTTTGAGTTTTTAATGGCATTGTAGTTGAAATTTTAGGGGAAGCACTTTGAAGAAAGCACTCGGAAATTTTAGGGGAAGCACTTGTGAAATTTCTCTTCGAAGAAGGTTTTGAGTTTTTAATGGCATTGTTGTTGAAATTTTAGGGGGAAAACTTTGAAGAAAGCACTTGGAAATTTTAGGGGAAGCACTTGTGAAATTTCTCTTTGAAGAAGGTTTTGAGCTTTTAATGGCATTGTAGTTGAGTTTTTAATGGCATTGTAGTTGAAATTTTAGGTTCTAAATAGTAGTAGAGAGCACCGAAGTCGCATTTTGATCAAAGAATTCTAAAAGAGAGTCTGTAAGATCGGCAATGAGGTTATGGGTATTCAAGCCACCAGTTTCAAGAGGTTCTGAACTCAAGTATTATAACACTTGTCTATTTTCATTTCTTTTATTCTGCCTTTTCCAGAGCATATCATAACCACGCTTATAAAGATTCGTCTATGGATAAATGCGAATGTAAGACCTAATATTATCATGACCAAAGACAAAAGTCTGATCATAAACTTATGAAATATGCAACTAAAAGTCTAAGCCAAGAATGCACATTATGGACAAAAAAAAATAGGGAACAGAACTGGGGAGCTTAAATGGTTATATTTGTCTTTCAGCCATATTAAGTTTGTCAAGTTCCCATTCTTTTATGTTTATTTTTGGTGTCACAATTTGCTTCTTTCTTGATGATTGGTGAGAGATAGCAACTCAAGATTTTAATGAATGTGAATGAAGATCTGTTGTTTAATGCTTGGCTGTCATCAGTATCAAAATCTAGTGATTGTCTACTTGCAATCAACAGATATATTATCTCCATATCAACCAAGCTTTCTGTTTCAAACAATACAAAGTTCCCTAACTGCTAAATGAGAGCATGACTCTAACTTTAATATCCATTTCAATAGATAAAACCATGTACATAAGATGGTTGGAGTCAGGCGAAACAATCAATGTATAAGAGGTAATAATATCCAAAAGTTTCCACATTGATATTTAACTGTACTGATTCCTACAAGCAAGTATAGATCTTGACACAGCTCACACTATACGGAATAAATAAGTTTCAGATAGTTCCGTTTGTATAGGATTCAGGAAATATACACATACATAATCAATCCTTTGTTGCCAGTGAATCACCAGACATCAGCTCCCTTCGTTGCACCAAATACGATGGCAATGACTGCAATAATAGCCTGTTTAAGGAACAAAAACAAGGTTTTGATTAAAAATCAAACTATTGTGATTCTTTTACTCTGTAGTAAAGGAAAAAAATGTCAACAATTCATTAAGAGAGGTCTCGGAATGAAAGTTTAACAATAATATAAAAATGAAAAATGTGAAGTGAATTGTGACGCATGATCATTAAGAGAGGGCTTTGCATGCTCTTTAATAATAATTTTAACAACAATTCGCTAATAGAGGGCTTTGCATGCTCTTTAATATCATTAGAATATATATCAATCAAATGAACTGGAGATGCATGATCATACCTTTTCTCATCTTCATAGATGGCGGCAGGCTTTACATTAACAAGTTATTGTACAATTCAACCAACAAAGGCTTATCATGAAGTCAAAACCCTAATCTTTTCTTCTCCAGTTCTTCCCCCTTGTAATTACTCATTCCCTCCTAATTGATATTAGTAAAAAGAGATCCACTATCAGATTTCAGATCTGCAACTTGAATAGTACTTATTGACTTTGTCTCATGTCTTATTCCCAGTTGTCAAATTCCTAATTTCCTAGTCATCATGTTTGTATGATCTATCTTACAGCTATACTGAATCAAACAGTAAGGTACTGGTGCCTCCTTCACAAAGACACTGTTATAATCCTCGTAATTTTGTAGATATTCCTTTTATTGAGATTTTGATGATCCACATGAATTTGAGAACCGCATGGAATAACCAAATTGGTAGACATTGCAATCACACGTCACAACACCAAAACTTAGGAAGAGAGATCATCCAATGAATGCTTTAAATAAGAAAATGCAGTTTGTTACTTACCGCAATTGTGCAAGCAACATATCCTGGTTTTTCTCTGTAATCCACTCTGACACACAGCAGAATGAAAGCCCCAACATACCATGGAATAGCAGCGAGGAAGAAGCCAATGATGAACCTTTCAAACGAAATCAAATTGTTTTTGTCAAAACTCAGTCTCATGCATAACAAGACAAAATTATTCATAACTAGAACATATAGAAATCATAAGAAGAATTTACTCACAGAAACCATCCCATGCCCATTCCACAGCATGGAAGACGTGGCTGCCTTACTGGTCTCCCTTCAGCAACTGCTCCATAACCTTAATAAAATATAAAAGGTTAGGAGGTTAAGGGGAAACCACACTATTGATCATAGACCCTTTAAAATTTAACATGAAAAAATTAATATGGATGTGATTGGAACTTAATTATGTCCTGAGGAAACCACACCACTGAGATCTGGGATGTTAGTATATCATCTCATAGCTATATCTAGTACAGACACCAGGCTTCAATGAACACTTCATTAACATGAAAGACAGCAAACGACCTACCTCACATTCAGTAATAATACATCCAGTGTAAAAATGATAACAGCACTGTAGAAATTAGAAATTTGTGAATGCTAGAGGTACAATGAGGACCATAATGCAGAGTATTCTAATATGGTCAGCATGATATATTTTTACTTGTAAGACACACTTATAATGTAAAAGATATAGTAATTATCCAGAAAAAAAATTCATATTTGGGATCTAGATAACTTCATATTATCCAGAAAATATTAGACAACTAAAATATAATAGAAAAGTTAACCTCAGATTCAGATTCTGATTCTGAATCTGAGATATAGATAACTTCATATTTGGGATTACAGATAACTTCATATTTGGGATTACTTGATGAAGCCATAAAGGGGAAAAAAAAACAAATTCAACTTGAAACATATCTCAAAATACCTGTAGATATACATGAATAGATATCTTTAGAATTTGAAACGTTTACTTTCTTTGGTTGAAGTTAGATAGGAAAGTAAAATGCAATGAATTGGAAAGGACACTAATAATAAATAAATGATATAATAATTAGATTTAAATAGATGTCAACCACTACGCAACTGGAAACAACATATTACTTAATTTAGTTAAAAAATTTTGGATAATCATTACAGTTTTTTGGATTTTTAATTTTTTTTATCTATCACGATGAATTTACTTACCAACAGCAACCAAATTTTTAGTTGGAAGTAGATATGGTATTAATAACACATCTAAAATACAATTTTCAGAAATACAGTACATAATAAATAGATAGATATAAGGTGGTTGGCAAAGCAAACACAACTATAATAGCTTAAATTTAATAACTGAATGAATAAACACACCAAAAACCAAATAGGCAGGAAAGTGACAGACGACAAGACATGAAGGGGATTGCAGAAACAAAATACACAGCACGTGCTGAGCACGGGCTGCATAGTCGTAATGTACATGATATAGTAACAGTTGAGAGAAAAGCCATAGATCACGATGCTAAAAACAAATAGAAAGAAAACAGATTCTGCAGGATGTTAGTTCTACAGTATTGATATTGAAAATTAGGCAAAACCTTATTTTGAAGGAGAAACAATTGAACAACTTGATATGATCCGCTAGTAACTTTTAGTTATAAGAACGGGAAGTTCATGAAACCTTTTCTTTTATGACAACTGCATGGTGGATGAAATGTCTTTCTAAGATTTATGATCAAAATGACCAATATAAATTAGGGAAAATGATCTAAGATCTTTAACATCCTGACATTCTTAAACCAAACCTTATTATTACTAAAGTTTCCTTGTTTAGAACATTTGGAGGATAGATTTTTTGTTACATCTTTAGAAATTTAATTGACTGATTTGTTTATTTAAAGGGTGAGCTCTTGATATCCTTTCCCTATCTCCTCTCTTTCTGTTCATGCCATCTATTGGCCACACGAGGAATGTATAGTCATATTGTATCTTTGAAATATGATGTAAGTATCCAAGCCAAGATACAACATGATGACGAGATCATGGTTATCAAGTTGGGGACAGTTAGATGAAGTTAAGATGGTTGAATTGAAACATTGTGTGTTTTTCATTTGTTGTCTAATGAAAAATGGAGAAAAAAGAATTTTTCTAGAAAGGTGATGTCAAGGATACCACCTCATCCCCGCTTAATTACTTTAAGCAGATATGAGGCAAAGGGGAATTTATTGGAGTTATCTTGCAATGGGTTAAATGAATCCAACTTAAAAAGGGAAAAAATGAAGTAGCTGGAGTTCAAATTCTAATCCATGTTGATTGAAGATATTTGGGAATATGAAGGCTCAACAAACGAGGAGTATATAAGACCTAGTGGGTTATCCCTTTCTCAGTTGGCTACAGTTTATCATAATCCCTCATGGACCACACTCCTACAACAAAAACAGTTACAAATATGGCCATAAAAAAGTTGGAGCTTCAAAAGTCACCTACATGGTTGAACATGAAATATAAGGAGAAAAAAATGCCCAAGCAATCAAACCTATATGAGTTGTCAAAACATTTCTAAACAACCTGTGAACAACTTCATAATTGTGCAAACCAATCCACATATTGATGCAATCAGTCTACCTTGACTAGCTAATACCTCGGCCAAACCAACTCTTGAGCTCAACATGATGCACCAACATGTTTTTGCTTCTAAGGGGGATATTACCAAGAAGACGATAGACCTAAAATTTCACCATCTCACAGCATTCACGGAAAAAAAATACCAAACTAAACCAATCAATAGGTTTACTAATTGCCACATGTTATTCAAAAAAACAAAGTGGCGCCACATGGATGAAGCTCCTTTAAGCCACGACATTAGCTTCGATCCGACCATTCCATTGCAAAGAACATTGTCTAACTAAGTTGTTTTCATGATTTAAAGGATTAAAACTAGCTTAAGTTATTTGATACTTGCTTTTACCAAAGAATATTTCTTAAACACATGAATTTAATTCTAGGCCTAACCAAGAAATATATTATGATATATTGTTGACATGGTGCTTAGATGGGTAGTTTGTTGGCATTTTTATCCTATGTGCTGCCAGAGCAAAGAGAACATGTGTTAATATCTTAAGAGTTAAGAACATCATCAATTCAGTATTTGTACATTGCAAGCTGAAGGAAGCTCACATGTGAAAGATAATTCAAACTAATAGGACATGCGGACAAATATTTATAAGACAAGGTGAGATCTGTAATTTCTCAAAAAATAAAATAAAATAAAGGATATGTGTATCCACACGCGCTCCAAAATCAAAAGGTGTATCTTCACTTCTTGAAAATTTGAGAATTATGTTAGCTTATCAAATAAATGTCACCAACAGTAGATCTAAAATCCATGGCAATATCTATAAATCTAGGGGCCAAAGTGGCACAAGATGCATGCAGTTAGCAGCTTTATGACTCAATGACATAGTTGTTTCCAAACAAGTAGTTGGCACGTGGAATAAAGTTAGCCGCTTCGTGAACAAATATGGTCCAAGTGCTTGAGCAAAGGTACAACATGGTGATCAGACGCTCAGGTCATAATTGCTCTGGTGGAGCATTTGACAAACTTAAGACACTAGGATTGGAGCAAGATGGTCTATCTTATTGCTTGCATAATGAGAAATGGAGAAAGGGGACCCCCCCCCCCAAACAAAAAAGCACAGGTGATGGCTAGGATACTGTTAAATGTCAATTTATATGTTGGATATAGGTCGAGGAAATTAATGAACTTCATAGCACAGGGCTAAAATCACTATTGTTAGACAACTAAACGGGGAGGGGCTTTGGAGTTAAGATTTAGTTACACATTGGAAAAGTTATGAAAATAAGAGTGGTCAGTATGTGACATCGAACCAAGATACATAACCAGCTATGTAATTGTAGCTAATGCCTCAAAGTGATCAAATGGTTTGTTTTGAATATCATTACCATTATTCCTCAAAAACAAAAAAGGTTAAAAAAATTTATTACCATTAACAGTAGGAAACTGTTGGCCTCTTTGTTTTGATGATGTTTAACAAACAATTTACCACTAATGTTGTTTGTCTAGTGTTGGTGTATTTCTATTTATTATAGACAAACAACGCGTTGGAGGATGGATGGAATTACGCATTCACGATCATATCCAATGGAGGTTGGCGGAATTGTGGAGTAAAGCCTACGCAATTCAAAGTTAAAAATTCAAGTTCAAGCTTCATCCGCAAGTGTGCCAAGATAGAGCTTCGTTGAAGATCACAAGCTTGGGTATATTTAGTTTTAGGTTTTATATTATGTGTGTTAGTACTTTAAGCTCAATCATACACACACATACACGTTTTGGTTTTTCTATGTATATATATAGTCGTATATATACATATATGTTTTGGTTTCTAAGTATATATAAATATGAAATTACATCCTTCATATTTATTGTATTAGTTTTTCAAGTTTAAAATGAAACAATTGAATATAATTGGGAAATACATTTTTGTTTCATGTTTATATACTTATATGCATATATATAATTTCATCAATATCAATTTTATATAGTTCAATAAAATCATGTTTTAGTGCATTATATGTGTATTTTGATAAAATACTATATTCATTGTTTATAGACTTCATAACAATAGTTTACATCTTTCTTCAAGTCTATAAAATCATTTTGTAATGTTTCAAAATATGATTAAGTTAAAATGTCAAAACTCATGTGTTCACATTTTCATGTTTTGGACTATTTTATAAAATGATGATATTTTTTATTTGGAAGGTCTTTTTTGAAAACCAGTTATTGTAGCATGTTTATTATCATGTCTACAATCATTTCCTAAAGTTTTATATTTTTTAGAATTTATTTGATATTTTTAAACATGGTTTTAAAATCAGAAAAACTGTTTCTAACCTGGAATTTCATGTATCAGTTTGCGGTCAACAGCCACGGTCGACCGCCCTTGAGTCCAGAGACTCAAAACTGTTTTTGATGGCTCGCAATCGACCGTGGCGGTCGATCGGATGCAGTCCAGAGAGTTTCGCGGCCGATCGCTACGGTCGACCAATCGACCGTGGCGGTCGATCGGATGCAGTCCAGAGAGTTTCGCGGCCGATCGCTACGGTCGACCGTCTATTGTTCAGAGCCAAACCCTGACCTTTTTGTTGCTCGCGGTCCACCGTGAGTTTTCTACGGTCGACCGCCGATTTGACTGTTGGACTCCAACGGCTATTTCCTGAGCTGTTTTTCAGGGGTGCTTTTTGGTCTTTTCTGTTGGTTTTTTGACTGAGATTTTGGGAGGCTATATATACTCTCTTGCTCTCATTTTTTCATACATAAGAGAATGTTTTAAAGAAGTTTTAAAAGAGTTTAAGTTTGTTTTAAGTTTGTTTAAAGGGTTTGTTTTGTGAAAACAATTTCACCAGAGCTTGAGGAAGATCATCTACATTGTTTAAGCATCCAACTCTTCTACTTCTCCCTCTTGATCTATAGAGAAGTTTTTCTAAACTCTATTTCTAGCTATTTATTGTTTTATTCATAAATTCCCATAAGCTAGATTTTAATTGAGTTTTGTTGATTTGATTTCACTCATTGTTTACACACACCCACTTGAGCTTATTGTACTTTCATACATAGTATATTTGGGATGGTGAGAGTTGTAACATTGAGTGTGAACCTACATTGAGTTCTCATCTATTGTAGAGAACAAATCATTTGTTATTTTGTGAGATTGTAAGGTTTTCGGTGAGCTAGAAAACCGAGTGTGTTGTTGTAAAGTTTTCGGTGAGCTAGAAAACCAAGTAAGAGTGTGAGATGTGAATGTTGATCGGTGAGCGTTGAAAACCGACATTGTGAGGTGTAAACGTTATTCGGGTAAGCATAGAACACCCGGTTGTGATAGTGAAGATCTCCTCGAGGTGAGGAGCGGAGATGTAGGTCGTGGGGACCGAACTCCGTGAACATATCATTTGTTTGAGATTGCATTGACACACTTATTTTCATGTTCATATCTTATATCGCCATTGTGTATTGCTCTTTGTTTATTTAATCCACTATCTAGTTTGTGTTTATTTTACCTTTGCATTAGTTTATATATCCTTGTATATATTTCATCATATACCTCTTTGCTAGGATATATCTCTTTGTTCATATTGCATATTCTTGCTCATATCATATTATTATCTATCTTGCAAGAATAATATTTGAATTAGTTTTAATTGGCATAAAATCGGATTAGATTAGTATAAGACCCTAATCAACCCCCCTTCTAGGGTCTAATAATTGGTATCAGAGCTTGGTGATCTTTGATTTAAGGTCTAATCACATTGAGTTAAAGATCCAAGTTATCTTTTTGTGCTAATCTAATTTTTTATTTTTGTATCTTGCTTGCATATACCAAGTTATCTTTTTGTGCTAATCTAATTTTTTATTTTTGTATCTTGCTTGCATATATACATTATGGATATGAACGATGCATCTTGTTTAGGTTATGCCATCAATATTGCTCCTAGATTAGATAATTTTTCCTATGTCCAATGGTGTGTTAGATTTAAACTTTTTATTCAATCGAAACACTTTGATTTATGAGAAATTATAGATGATGCTTACATTGTGCTCACTTCGGAGAAATCCAAGTGGAATAAAAATGATCATCGAATGTTTATAATGAATAATATTTTATTAGAATATTTGCTAAATGCTTTTAATTCATCTATGTCTATTAAGTTTGTTCATTTTGATAGTGCTTACACCTTATAAAAATTTATTGAAGCACATCAAAGGGACTTGGAGGCGATCCGACAAGCTTTGGAGGATCCCGCTTCAAGTTCATATGGAGCATCATGCACACGATCACTAGGCGATAGCCCTAGTGAGGTTTGCGAGTTCGAATCGATTAATGATTTATCTAGTGATGAACTTGCTTGTGCTAGTAAAAAATTATTACATGTCTTTAACAAATTGCATAAAGATTTTATTGATTTACAAGGCAAACATGATAATTTAAAATCCGATCATGAGAAGCTAGCTTCCAAATTTGATGTCATTACAAAAGAAAATATTATGCTTAAAGAAAACAATGACTTATTAAATTTGAAAAATAAAATTTTGATCTCATCAATTGCTAGTCTATCTCATGCTAAGATTGATGTCATGATAGAAGTAGAGAACATAAAAATGATACAACTTCTTTTATAAATAAATATTTATGTTCTACTTCTAATGTTAATGCACATATGTCTAATGATGAGTTGAATATTGTTAAAAATCGCATTTCATCTTTAGATTCAGCTCTTAAAACATGCATTGTTAATAATAAGAAACTTATGAACTTATGTGCAAAGTCTCGTGTTAATTCTTTCAAATCCAACACTCACTATGCACATATTTATAGCAAAATTTACAAATGTTCAATTTGCGGTCGTAAAGGCCACATTGCTAAATTTTGCTATGCTGCACACAAATCTTCTAAGACTAATGCTTCTTGTGCATCTCATAAGGCTTCTTCATCACATGCACATGTACATGCACAAACTCATCATGTTCATCATAAACATGCACATGTGTTTAAATGTGATCTATGTGGTCGATTTGGCCATTTGACAAAGTTTTGCTTTGATTTGAAAAAGATTTCACTTTTGCCAAATAACTTTGAAAGACCACAGAAGTTTAAGTGTGATCATTGTGGTCGTTTTGGTCATTTGACCAAATTTTATTTTAATTTGAAGAGAGTTTCTCGTTTGCAAAATAATTTCCAAGATAAACCTATTTTTGCAAATGAGTCTCGTGCATAACCGTTTGGTCAACATAAGCAAATGCCTCCTTTCCATTGTACTTATTGCAATCGGAAGGGTCATTTGAATAATTTTTGTTATGATCGTGTCCGTGCACCACATGCGTCCATGAGGGTTCATAATCCTAGGAATTTGAGCTTAAATGATAGGAGTCATGTCCCTAAACCTTTTGGTACCAAGAATACTTGGGTACCAAAATAAATTTGATTTTAAACCAAGAATTTTAGTGCTTTTATTTTTTTGGTTTTGAAAAATTATACTTTAAACTTTTGAACATGTTGGTTTTGTTTTGATAAGAGGTTTGTGTTTATATAACCACCCCCCCCTCGATTTTCGATGAGCTAGAAAACCGAGTGTTGTAAAATTTTCGGTGAGCTAGAAAACCGAGTGAGAGTGTGAGGTGTGAACGTTGATCGGTGAGTGTTGAAAACCGACATTGTGAGGTGTAAACGTTATTCGGGTAAGTGTAGAAAACTCGGTTGTGATAGTGAAGATCTCCTCGAGGTGAGGAGCGGAGACGTAGGTCGTGGGGACCGAACTCCGTGAACATATCATTTGTTTGAGATTGCATTGGCGCACTTATTTTCATGTTCATATCTTATATTGTCATTGTGTATTGCTCTTTGTTTATTTAACCCACTATCTAGTTTATGTTTATTTCACCCTTGTATTAGATTGCTCTTTGTTTATTTAACCCACTATCTAGTTTATGTTTATTTCACCCTTGTATTAGTTTATATATCCTTGCATATATTTCATCATATACCTTTTTGCTAGGATATATCTCTTTGTTCATATTGCATATTCTTGCTCATATCATATTGTATATCTATCTTGCAAAAATAATATTTGAATTAGTTTTAATTGGCATAAAATCGGATTAGATTAGCATAGCACCCTAATCACCCCCCTCTAGGGTCTAATAGAAACATGTGAGTATTTGAACAACAAGTAACACAAACCTGACATAACAATGATTTCCGACTGCGAAATACACACAGCTACCTGACATTTTCATCCTCCTTGTTCAATGCCTCAAACATTCTCAACTTCTAGTGCCAATCTTCCTACTTATTCAAAACAATCCACAAGACCCACAAAAATTTTTCTTGGTTAAGGACGAATTAACCAGTAAAATCATAATTACCCTCCAAAATCCACCATTTCACAATTTCATTCGGTTTTATAAAAAATAAAAATCCCCAAATCACACTAATTGCTAATTTAGGGTCTCAATCCTTGGTGGGCCGATCTCTAAATTGACCCCAAGGCTGCCACCCCCAATCAAACTAACAAACACCCATCAAAATTCAATCACCGATTTCACTAAGCAATCAAGAAACCCAAAAAAAAAAAAAAAATCAGATATTTGGGCTTTAGTAGCAGTTACCGGGAACAGCTTGATAGCCGTGGGCATAGTAAGTAGGCGCAGCAGAGGAGGGGTGACCGGAGTTACCGGGAACAGCTTGATAGCCGTGGGCATAGTAAGTAGGCGCAGCAGAGGAGGGGTTACCGGCTGAGGGAACCCCATGGCCGGCTGCTGAGGGGGGTAAACAGGGGGCCCACCTGCAAAGGTCCCATACTGCTGCTGGTGGTCGCCGGGCTTTGTATAGTCGTTGCTCATGCTTTTGAGGGGATCCTCACTCTCTTTTCGTAATTGAAAGGGTTCGGACGTTTATAGGGGAATTACTGACTCTGGCGAAGAGTCGTGTTTGTATGAGATTAGGAGAGGAGGTTGTGAAATAGTGGTCATTTTCTGCTGAGTTATTATTAGCTCCGTATTCTTACACGTCACTTTCTGCTGAGTTTCCCTTGTTCGTGGGATTTTCGGAGGAATTGTTTGGGATTATCATACTCATTACTAGGGTCAATGCATGTAGCACAACTCCTATATTTACCAGCATTTATCGAAGACCAATATGAACAGAGAACAATATACAACAACAACAACCACCACCATCAAGGCGTTATCCAAAATATTTGGGGGTCGGCTATATGAATCCTATTTTTACATTACATTCTGTTACGGGTCATTTCCTCCGTTACGGTAGTCTTAATCATATCCTTCTTAATTGCTTCTGACCAAGTCATTCTAGCTCGACCTCTAAATCTCCTAGCCCCATTAACTCTAATAATTATCACTTTTTTGAATCGGTGTACTAAGGGGTCTCCTTCGTACATGACCAAACCATCTTAATCTATTCTCTCTGATTTTATCCTCAAGAGACGCAACCTCTAATTTACTACGGATGTACTCATTTCTTATCCTCTCTTTTAATGTATACCCACAAGACCATCGTAACATTCGCATTTCCGCTACACTCATTTCTTGAACATATTGTTTTTTAATTGCCCAACATTCTAATCCATAAAGCATAGTTGGTCTTATAAACGTCCTATAGAATTTTTCCTTTAGTTTCATTGGTATTCTACGGTCACATAAGACTCCCGAAGCACTCCTCCATTTCAACCATCCCGATTTGATTCGATGCACAACATCATCATCTATCTCACCATCATGCATAATGATTGATTCTAAATAGCGAAAATGATTAGTTTTAGGTATTTCTTGGCCAAACAGAGAACAATATATATCACAAAAGTATATTAGCACATTCATCACATAATAAATCCATAATAGTAACATCATATACTCCCAACATTAGAATTATAGCATTTTTGCCAAAAATATAAGGTTAAACCCAAAAAACAGCTTACATCTAGGGGAAAAATGCAGCTTACTTCCAGTTAAAAAGTTGAGCATACTACAAGCTCACTCCTTTGTGTCATATCCATTCAGTGTGCACCCCCTTCCCCCCAAAAAAAGCCAAAAAAAAACCCTAAAATATACCTACATTAATAACTATAAATCATAAACATCATAAAAAGTAGCTGTAAAGCAATTAATTAATACAAAATACTACCTTTATTATCTAATTGCACCTTCTTGGATTTTCTTGAAATTGTCCTATAGAGACCTTT